TTTTTTTTTGTTGAAGTCATCGAACCAAGATTTTGGAGAGGGTTTGGAGGCAAGCAAAAAAGCGATGTTCGAACTTGCCCTTTGTGCTTCTAGTGAGCAATGCAGCAAGGACCCTCCATAGCCGCAATTCGAGACATTCGTGGTTGTTTATTGCCACCAAATCAAAGCAGCGTTCTTGTCATATTTGAGAGTTTACACTTGCCGCCATGGCCCGTCTTGGAACAATTTTGCCATGGGCGTGTCCATAGGCCTCATGTAGGTTAGTCAAGCGTTCCGAGGACGAAGGTCAATATCGGGCCAAATATAAATCCAAATCTCGACCCTGAAGTTTACGAACAGAAGCAAAATGGAGATGTGGCCGAGTGGTCCAAGGCGCTGCATACATTTAAATTACGGTTTCCATGCAGTCTGTTTCATCAAGACAGTCGTGGGTTCGAATCCTTCCCTCTCCTCTTTCGTTATTTTTCTTTCTTTTTTTTGGATGCAACAGTGGAGTTGAACCGCGCCTCCGATATTTGCTCATTTTTTTCTGTGACGCGTTAAACAAATCGCGCCCCTAATATCGTGCGCATCTGCGGATGGAAGGGTGCGACGTGGCACGAACCCTTTGCAAGCAATGACGGCGGGGTGCTGATAAAAAGCCTAAATCGTCAACACACCACACCAGCAGAAGGATGGAGAGGTGGCCGAGTGGTCCAAGGCGCTGCATACACCTATAAAATCTTGTTTTCATGCAGTCTGTTCTCCAAGACAGTCGTGGGTTCGAATCCCTCCCTTTCCTGATTTTTTTTTCATTTTTTTTCTTGTACTTGTGCATGCCTCCCTGCATCACTATTTCCTCTGTCATGGTTTGTGCCTAAACTGGAGACTTAGTTTTGAATTTGCTCTTGGGAAGTGGGAAGGTCGTATTGGGCGAAGTAAGTCCGCTGGACTTTGTTTCTTACCGATACGACACCGATTGTGGCTCGACGACCATGCCAATACAATACAAATACCCAGGCCCCGTCCTACCTCCGTCCCATCTGACAAGGGAAGAAGTAAGAAAAAGGGACGAAGACAAAAAACGAAACGATCAAAATTACTGCTTTCTTTTATCTCTGCTTGATGGGCACGAATGCATGAAAAAAAATCAAAAAGAAGAAAGAGAGAATGTTCAAGGACAGCATCTGCAAAGCACGTAAAGAAGTCAAGGAGTAAATTGTTGTTGAGAGCATCCTTTTTTTTCTTTTCCATTCTTCCTTCTCTTCCATCTTTTTCTTCTGCTTCCCTTCTCTCGCTCACGCAACAGCAACCACAAATCCGCCAAACATCTCCCTGTCAGACAACGAATTTACAAAAAAAAACATGCTTGCAAAAGCTGTGTGCATCGCCATCCAAACCGCGGCAACTTGTAAAGCCCTTCAGAGACCGAAATCGACCAAAGCAGAAACACGCGACAAGATTCGCAAGGAAACGCTCTTGGTCAACTCTTACCGCGCACTCATCTCACCGTTGGGCCAATCGATCGTGGTCTCGATCTCGACAGTGTACTTGGTCCTGGTGCACCAAGGCACCATTCCATCGGAACTGAGGACCTGGCAACTGGTCACAGTGATCAGTAGTGTCTTGGCCAGTGCTCTGTGAAATTGGGCGTACAAGACTCTTGATAGATTCTTCACCGTAAGGTGTTATTTTGGGGAAGGATTTTTGGCTATTGGGATCTTCTATTTTACGCTCTGTAGTGCAATCGCGTCTAAATGGTATATTGTTATATATTTTATCTTATATTACAACGTAGTTCAAGCTGACCATCCGAGAGGGCCATCGCCTTGTCAAGACCGGACCCTATCGATGCTTGATCCACCCGTCCTATACTGGACTGATCACGATCTTCCTGACATATGTGGCCGTTATGGGCTACGACGGTCTGTGGACATATCTGATTCAGCCAAGACTTCCTATCCCCATCCCTGGCGCACTGGTAGCGATCGCCGTTCTTTGGTACCTGATGGCTGTGTTTTTTAACCGTATAGTGGAAGAGGAAGCTATGCTGGCACAGGCGTTCGGGCAGGAATGGGCTAACTATGCGGCGACGCGCTGGCGGTTTGTCCCTCTGATCTATTAAATCGGAAAGAGCTCGGACATGGTTGGGTTTCTGTTTTTGCCGGCCGGGATGTAAAGTAGTATATGGACGGCGATTATGAATTAGCGGTTGAGAATGTTTTATTTGATCAATTAAGGGTGCTACATGTAGAACATGTGTTGTCATCGATCCCCTTTACAGAACAAACGGAATGAACCTCCAACGCTTGGCGGCGTACTCTTCCCACTCTGAGCCGAAATGCTGGTACAACATTTTTTCCTCGCCTTGCACACGGAAGACGGTCAAACCGTAGGCGAGAATCAGTCCACCCAGCGTCAGGACCGAGCCCGGAATTGGAACAATCATCAAGGGCTTGATGAGATAGGTCCAGTATCCTTGATACGCAATCGAGTAGATGTAGGGGACGCCGGTCAAAATGAGTGCAGTGTACGATGGATGGAGCAGGTATTTGTAGGGTCCATCCTGCACAAGACGGTGTCCTGGGCGGATGGTAAGTGAGTACTAGAAAACAAAGAAAAGTTGGTTAGTCACCTATCATTACACAAAGTGCTTCCATTATCTAGGGTACCACTTGACGAAGCTCCCTCTCTCCCTCTCTATCTCTTACTGTGAAGAATCGGTCCAAAGTCCTAAAGGACCATGCGCGGAGGAGATATCCAAGGACACCGCCGACCGTGGTCAGAACCTGCCATGGCCTGAGTTCTGAAGAGATGATTCCGCGGGACATGAGCGTGATATAGAGGGCAGCAGCAACAATGGCGGCGGTCTGGCCAATGCGGGGCATGAGGTCGATCATGACGGTAGAGAAGAGGCCCTCGTCTTTGACCTTGTCCGCCTTTTCCTTGTTGACGGAGGAGGCGGGCGGGCGGATGGAGAGGATGGTGGCCAGGGTATGGATCGAGATGCAAGCGGCTTTTCCGATCATGGCTTCAATATGTAAGGAGGACGTTGCTGTAGTTCAGAGGCACAGTATGTGGAGAAATTTTTGTGGAGTCAAAGGCGAAGATGTGTTTTGTGGGTTGGGATGTGGAGATGAATGAGCGATGTGAATGAATGAGATGCAGTTCAAAAGGAATTTGTCCTTTCGTCCACTCTTTTATGGACGTCAGAGAACTCTCTTTCTGTTGGGTTTGTGACCAACATTGTTGGTTTTTTCTTTGTTCGTGCTGGTGGGTTGCACAGAAAATCGCAAAGAATGCAATATCGGATTGACGACATGGATGAACGAGAGAAGGCTTGGATTGGATGGGTCAGCACACATACAAGATACAAGGTACCCTTTTTTCACATTTCACTTGTTTCCTTCTTTCGTTTTGCTCAGCCGAGCCATAGTTCATGTGCAAAGTGGAGCCGATGAGCCCAACACTTTTTAGCTGTGAGGATAGTTAGTTCTCTGTTCGGTCGCCGTCCATGTGTCTGTGGACTGTAGCATATGCCTATGCGAGTGCACGTCAACCGGGGAGAAGACAGGGTCATAAGAGTCTGTGGCTGCCAAGACGGCTTACTCGCAAAGGCAATGGCTAATACACAACACCTACGCTTGCTTCGTCATAGTATTGCCGGGTCAAGGTAGCACAACTCACCTTCCCTTCTGTCTGTGCGGACGAATGCAGTCGTATTACGACCGCTGCATGTCGCACGAGGATGACCGCCAATTGTTGACTAGATGAGCATAG